AAAGTTTTGAAAATTTCTTTTAACTTATTAGGTTAATTTCAAACATAAAAAAGCAGAAGATGGGCAGCCCAGGTGGCTCAGCAGTTTAGCGCCGCCTTCAGCCCGGGGCCTGATCCTGGAGACCCAGGATCGAGTCCCACGTCGGGCTCCCTGCATGGAGCCTGCTTCTCCCTCTGCCTGTGTCTCTCCCTCTCTCTCTGTGTGTGTCTCTCATGAAAAAACAAAACAAAACAAAACAAAACAGAAGAGTATAGTGAACCCCTATATATCAGGCACCTGGCTTCAACAATTATGGATGGCCTATCTTGTTTCATGTATACCTTACTCATTTATACCTTCTACAGAATATTTTAAGGCAAATCGAACATTTATTCCATCCATATTTAAGTTTGCATCCCAAAAAATAACGAACAGCTTTTTAAAAAGACAGCTACTGCTACCATACCACTATGGATCTTAAAAGAGTCACAATACTTCCTTAATATCATGAATTATCTATCATGTTCAAATTTCCCTGATTGTCTAATTTTTAAATAATTGTTTTAAATTTATTTATTTATTTATTTATTTATGATAGTCACACAGAGAGAGAGAGAGAGAGAGAGAGAGAGAGAGAGAGGCAGAGACACAGGCAGAGGGAGAAGCAGGCTCCATGCACCGGGAGCCCGACATGGGACTCGATCCCGGGTCTCCAGGATCACGCCCTGAGCTGTAGGCGGCGCTAAACCGCTGAGCCACCGGGGCTGCCCTGCATTTGGTTTTTATGTCTCTCAATCCATTGGTTCCTCTTCTTTCTTTGTAATTTATTTGTTGAAAAAATCAGGTCCTTTGTTCTTTAGAGTGTTCTGTCTTGGAATTTGCTGATTGCATCCCATGGTGTCATTTCACAGGTTCCTCTGTCACTTGTATGGGAAAATTTTTAAAGTGCAGGTTTCCAGATCCCAGTCTAAAAATGTATTCCTGTAGGACTGGCATAGGTGCTGGGGATCCCTTGTTTTCCTGGAAGTCCCAGGTGAGTCTGTTTGCCTCATGTTTGGGGATTGCCAACCTACCTGACTCCTCCAGGATCGCAAATTGTCCTCAGATACCCCAAGTTTCAGAGAGCAATATAAGATTATAATCTCCAGAGGTGAGGAGTAGGAGGAAGAGGAATTAGCTGTCTTTTGTGAGTTTTTTTTTTAAAGATTTATTTATTTATTTATTTATTTATTTATTTATTTATTTATGAGAGAGAGAGAGAGAGAGAGAGGCAGAGACACAGTCAGAGGGAGAAGCAGGCTCCATGCACCGGGAGCCCGACATGGGACTCGATCCCGGGTCTCCAGGATCACGCCCTGAGCTGTAGGCGGCGCTAAACCGCTGAGCCACCGGGGCTGCCCTGCATTTGGTTTTTATGTCTCTCAATCCATTGGTTCCTCTTCTTTCTTTGTAATTTATTTGTTGAAAAAATCAGGTCCTTTGTTCTTTAGAGTGTTCTGTCTTGGAATTTGCTGATTGCATCCCATGGTGTCATTTCACAGGTTCCTCTGTCACTTGTATGGGAAAATTTTTAAAGTGCAGGTTTCCAGATCCCAGTCTAAAAATGTATTCCTGTAGGACTGGCATAGGTGCTGGGGATCCCTTGTTTTCCTGGAAGTCCCAGGTGAGTCTGTTTGCCTCATGTTTGGGGATTGCCAACCTACCTGACTCCTCCAGGATCGCAAATTGTCCTCAGATACCCCAAGTTTCAGAGAGCAATATAAGATTATAATCTCCAGAGGTGAGGAGTAGGAGGAAGAGGAATTAGCTGTCTTTTGTGAGTTTTTTTTTTAAAGATTTATTTATTTATTTATTTATTTATTTATTTATTTATGAGAGAGAGAGAGAGAGAGAGAGAGAGAGGCAGAGACACAGGCAGAGGGAGAAGCAGGCTCCATGCACGGGAGCCCGACATGGGACTCGATCCCGGGTCTCCAGGATCACGCCCTGAGCTGTAGGCGGCGCTAAACCGCTGAGCCACCGGGGCTGCCCTGCATTTGGTTTTTATGTCTCTCAATCCATTGGTTCCTCTTCTTTCTTTGTAATTTATTTGTTGAAAAAATCAGGTCCTTTGTTCTTTAGAGTGTTCTGTCTTGGAATTTGCTGATTGCATCCCATGGTGTCATTTCACAGGTTCCTCTGTCACTTGTATGGGAAAATTTTTAAAGTGCAGGTTTCCAGATCCCAGTCTAAAAATGTATTCCTGTAGGACTGGCATAGGTGCTGGGGATCCCTTGTTTTCCTGGAAGTCCCAGGTGAGTCTGTTTGCCTCATGTTTGGGGATTGCCAACCTACCTGACTCCTCCAGGATCGCAAATTGTCCTCAGATACCCCAAGTTTCAGAGAGCAATATAAGATTATAATCTCCAGAGGTGAGGAGTAGGAGGAAGAGGAATTAGCTGTCTTTTGTGAGTTTTTTTTTAAAGATTTATTTATTTATTTATTTATTTATTTATTTATTTATTTATTTATGAGAGAGAGAGAGAGAGAGAGAGAGAGAGAGGCAGAGACAAAGTAGGAGGGAGAAGCAGGCTCCATGCTGGGAGCCTGACATGGTACTCGATCCCGGGACTCGATCCCGGGACTCGATCCCGGGACTCGATCCCGGGACTCCAGGATCGCGCTCTGGGCCAAAGGCAGGCGCCAAACTGCTGAGCCACCCAGGGATCCCCTGTCTTTTGTGAGTTAATTGAGACTCACAGTGGGAACCCCCAGGGTTGGTGACTCCTTCCTCTAACTCAGATTAGGGAAATTTTAAATTATCAGGACCTTTCCTGGCTTTGAGGGTGTCAGAGGAGGAGCAACACTCTTGCTCATGTGGCCCCCTGAGAGTGAGTGTGCTGTCCACGGCGTGAGCTGCTTCACTGGGACCTGAGGGTCACGAGCTGCTGGCAGTGCCTGCTTTTGATCTAGGATGCTGAAGACAAGTGGACCCGGCACACAGGTCCACACACACCCTGTGCTCTTTCTTCTCCGCTGACATTCCCTCACCCTTACTCCCTAGGACCAAGTGTCCCCTTAACTGCTCAGTGAGACATTCCACTGGTAATAGCCAGCACCTCACTGCCATTGCACACAGTAGTCAGAATGATATTTTAAGCATATCTATCTGATCATTTCTCTACCCTGCTCAACTTCTTCCCATGACTGCCCAACACACTTAAAATCCACATTGCTCACCATGGCTGACAAGGCCTGCTATGGCCTGGTCCATGCTTGCTGCTCCAACCACATCTTTCATTCTTTTTTCTCTCTGGCCACACTGGCCTTTCTGTTAGTTTTAGAACAGGCCGGCCTCATTCCTGCCCCAGGATCTTTGCACTTTCCATTTCCTCCTTCAGGAATTGACTCCCTCCAGCTCCTACTAGGATTCCCTCACATCTTCCTTCACTGAGATGTCACCTCCTCAAAGAAGTCTCCCCTGACTACCTTGTGGAACCTAGCACCACCTCATCACTGTATTCTTTTATCCTATTTTCTTTTTTTTCCTTCTTTTTTAAAGATTTTATTTATTGGGACTCCTGGGTGGCTCAGCAGTTGAACCTCTGCCTCTGGCTCAGAGCATGATCCTGGAGTGCTGAGATCGAGTCCTGCATTGGGCTCCCTGCATGGAGCCTACTCCTCCCTCTACCTGTCTCTGCCTCTCTCTGTGCCTCTCATGAATAAATAAAATCTTTAAAATTATTTATTTATTTATTTGAGAAGAGAGAGAGCCCACATGCGCATGAGTTGGGGGAGGGGCAGAGAGAGAAGCAAACTCCTCCACATGGGGCTCTGGATCCTGGGACTCCAGGATTGTGACCTGAGCCAAAGGCAGATGCTTAACCAACTGAGCCACTCAGGTGCCCCTCTTTTACTTTTCTTTATTGCATTTATAATTATTTGAAATTATATCCTTCACTTACCTCTTTAGTTTGTGGATGCCTTGAAGTGAGGGGCTTTAATCATCTTGCTCACTAATATACCCCAAGCAACTAGCAGGTGCTCAGTAAACATTTGTTGAGTAAATGGATAGATGGATGGGTGGATGGACAGAATGTCTTTTCAGTCCTGCCTCTCTTCTTACACACACATGCACACACGCACGTACACACATGTACACATACACAGAGAAGTTCTCATCAGGCTTTGCATTTCTTAAAGAACCTGCCTGTGTCCTGCCCCGATCTGCTCAGGTGTCATTGTGATAGTCACAGTTAAAAGCTCTACTCCAGGGTCTTTTGGGAGGCAGAAGGTCTTAGAGCATCAGGTTCCCCATGTGGGAATGTATTTCAAGGGAACTGGGAGGTTTGGGGCTGGGCCTTGGACAAGCTAGGTTTCAAGCCAAATATGTTGGGAAAAATCATTTTATTGGACAGTAAGTAATCCCACTGGGGCAGAAAGGGCTGGGAATGAAGGAGCACATGAGCCTCAGTGTTGGTGCCACCCAACTCTTCCCTCTGTTTTCTTCTGGCTCTGGGAAGCAGGTCTTCCTGGGTCTCCCTATTCTGTCTCCTGGCTCCAGACAAGAGGCTCCCTGGGTAGACACAAATTGCTTCTTTTCAGTTTCAAAAAGCCCAGCTCCTCTTGGTTTGTGTTGGCGGCTTCTGGCAGTGACTCAGGGCAGGAGTCTATCTGCTAGATTGGCCCCTGCTAAGACCACTCTGAACCCTCTCTCTGCTCTTGCATCCTCCTTGGCTCCAAGACAGCAGACTTTTCTTTCTTCTTCCCAAGAAGGGGCTCTAGAGGATTGAGCAGAGAAACGTCAGGTTTTCTTCCAGGCCGGTTTCAGCCCTGGGATGTTCAGAGCAGCCTCTTCCTTCAAACCTCAGTTCCAAGGCTCCTTGCCCACGGCCAGTTGGTATGGAAGGAGGCTCCTGGCTGAGGAAGGCTGAGACAGAGCGGCTCAGGTTCTAGTTCCAGCGGTGGATAGTCGGAGTCACTGCAGGAAGAGGCATTGGCTGTCTTAGGTGGTTAAACGTTTGCCCTCCCCACAGAGTGGCTCAGCCAGTGAGCTTCTGTGGGGTCAGCCTCCTGCCACCACGCTGCAATCGCCAGATTTGGGGGCTGGAGCAACTTAGGTCTTTATCCGATTCTGCTAGGTCTTTATTGATGCCTCTGGAGAGCCCTGCTGGAAATTGGTTTCTCTGCTTCCACCTTTGCTGGGGTGACCACAGGAGCATCCCCATAGGTCCGGTAGCCACCAACCAGGCAGTATGTCTCTCCATGCCAGCCCACCTGGGTTTCTCCACAGCCTCGGTAGAGGACATGGTAGTGACCAGGTGTAGGAGGAGAAATGGGAGCCACTGTTGCTGGAAAGAAAATCAGATCTAATCAGTCATTTCTGCTATGTACAGTGACCTGCCAGGACCTCCCACCTCTTGTCTCTCCCAGTGTCTGGCTGAAGTCCTTTAATCTGCTTGGTATCTGGAACACAGCCTTGGCCCATTGCTTCTATGAGTCCCCTAGAGAAGGAATATGGCTGCAAAAGCGATTCTATGTAGCTCAGGGCAGCAGCAGGAGACGCGGAAATCTGTTCTACATTTTTGGAGGAAATAGTAGAACCTGAAAACGGTTGCATCTGGGGTCCTTTCCATCTCTCCCTTCCACAGCAGAAAAAGCATTTCTCAAGGTCTATCACTTCTGAGGCTTTAATGGAAATACCTTTTTAGTGTTGGAAAAATTAATATAAATGGGCTAAGAACTTCTCTCATCTTGGCAACCCCTCCTGGGCCCCATTCATACTGCCTATATCAACCACACTGATCTCTAGCCCTCTGGTACTTTTACCTAGGTTAGCAAAAGGCCAAATACTGAGGCAGAGTGACCAGGAGGTTCAGAGCCAGATTCTGGGTGACAAGTCTAGGCTCACGTCAACCCAGCCTCCTAGGACACCATTTCGTCAGCCCTCCAGTCTTGGTATCACTCATCACTCTCCTTTGTTCTTCTGTTCTTCCCATTGATAGGACACCACATTTTCCCAGCACTCAGCAGCTCATTCTGGGGTGTGTCTGAGGGGGACCCACGTGGATGTCTACATGACAGCATGGTGAAGGTGCCTGGATTTGAAGGAGGGTTTCATGAGTGGCCCTCCACAATTCTTCCTCGAACTGCTCCATTTATCACTTGCCAACAAAAATTGGCTTGACTTTTGCTGAGAGGCCACTCAGAAAAGGGTCAGAATGGAAGTATCTTGTAGCCAAAAGGGAAGGCTGCATTTATAAAGATTAGAAGCTTTCTGAATAGTTGCCCAGGGATGACATTTCACTTGTCCTTAGCAGTGAGCAGGAACACTGTAAGTCCCTGAGGGGGCCCCAGGTCACTTGTATTACTTACAGCTGATTAAGTTCTGAGGTGTGGTGGGCAAGCCCAAAAAGGAACCTGTGTCAGCCAGGTGAAGTTGTGTGTATACCAATGACTCTTGTACAGATGCCTGACCTAGGCCTACCTGCTATGCTGCCCTCCCAGGGGACAGAGGACAAGTTAGAATGAATATAGAAGATCCGGTCAGACATTCTCTCTCAGGCAACCAAACAGATTGGTATCTGGTAGAGAACTGGTAGGGAAGTTTCCCCAAGAGCATCACGTTTGCGTCATTACTCTGCCATGGAAACTGTGAGAAGCCTTGTGAAGTCATCACTATCCAGTGAGGTCACATAAGGAATCCGTGACTTGAAGGGCAGGCTTCAGGCTCTCGGGGTTTTGTGGAGGAGAGCAGGGTGGAGACAGAAAAGCACCTTGTCTGGGCCCTCACACTTCTCTCCCCAGCCAGCCCTAGGAAATAACTGTGGCACAGCGCCAGGGACCAAAATAGGGCAAGAGAACCCACATTCTGTGATTGGCTTGAGAGGCAAGACTAACCCAAGAGACAGTCAGGTTGTATGGCACTGACCCTAAGTATTCAACAGCTGGGGAGGCAGAGATTTGTGTGGAAGTTTCCTTGGCAGTGGCCCTCAAGGATAAGTTAGATTTGGACTCATGGAGAGGAGAGGGAAGACCTTCCAGCTGAGAAGAATAAAAGCAAAGACAAAGTCTTCTTGAACTTGTCCTTCTCCAAATGCAAATTCACAGAACCCTCACATTTTTACAACTGAGGACTCAAAAAACTAAGAGGTGAAGGGGGCCTATGTGAGGTTATACAAGTAGTGGAGAGGTGTTCTGCTCAATGGTAGGGCTTCAGGTGGGCTCTGGATTTATACCTGATAGGAATGTGAAGACAAACTCATCCTTTTCAAAGTGACACTGCGAGAGATGTTAAAGGTGCTCCAAGGCCAAATGAAGGTCCTCAATGGCTTTCACCAAGTGGGAATGGTGGGGCCGTTTTAGTATGAAATTCAAAACAAATTCATGACAAAACAACAACCTAGTCATTACATTCATCTCTCCCCTAAAAAGGCAAATTACTGATATAACAATCCTACCACTGTGAAAGGATGAAGTGTGGGCTCAGCAGAAGTGTGGGTGAAAAACATGGTCAAACTGTGAAGAGGCGTTACTAAAAGCTGATTGGGTCCTACTCAGAGGAGGAGGAAATAGCTCTGCCCTGAGCTTGATCAGGCCCACAGGAAGGAACCACATTTGGGGCAGCCCTGGATACAGTCAGTCAACACTTCCTAGCAATGAGAGATAATCTTCCTTAAAGGGGGCCCCCTGTTGCTGACCTTGAATATGCAAAGATGGGATGCTTGTTTCCTGGGGCAGTTGCAAAAGGCATGTTCCCTGGAAGTGCATAATGATGCAGGACTATTTTAGAAGTTGGGCAACAACAACAAAGTGGGGCAACGGTGGTTGAGAACCATATCATCTTTCTAGTCCTAAATTGCTTGAATTAGTGTGGTGCATGTTAGGACACACAAAATCAGACATGATTAGAATGGACTGCCCTTGCAGGGTGCTGGGAGGGAAGATGTGAAGGGGAGAGCTCTGGGGGAGGTTCTTTCTGGCCAAGTGGGCCAATAGAAGACCACTTACATTCTCCAAGGCTCAGGAGGGATTATTTGTCTGGGAACATCACTCTGACCTCGTAGGGTTACTGATACATTATCAGGACCTGGGTCTTTGGGGAAGGGAGAATAGCATAGACAAATGGTTGTGAGCTCAGAAATATGTAATTTATTTTTTTAAGATTTTATTTTTAAGTAATCTCTACTCCCTTCATGGGCCTTGAACTCAACCTAGAGATCAAGAGTCACATACTCTACTGACTGAGCCAGCCAGGTGCCTCTGAAATCTGTTTTTTTTTTTTTTTTAAGATTTTATTTACTCACAAGAGACAGAGAGAAAGGCAGAGACATAGGCAGAAGGAGAAGCAGGCTCCCTGTGGGGAGCCCGATGTGGGACTTGATCCTAAGACCCTGGGATCACTAGCTGAGCCAAAGGCAGAGGCTCAACCACTGAGTCACTCACGTTGTCCTGAAATCTGTATTTTTAACAAACTTCCTGGGCAGTTTTGCAAGTGATCCATGGGTAGAGTGACCAAACTATTGTCCAAACTGGGTTACTTTTGAGAGTTAAAGTGGGCAATATTAAAAGTTGGCAACTAACTCAACCCTTGGTGCACACAGACAAAATTGTCATCATTATGTCATGTGTATGATTTTGAGCAACTTTATCCCTCTGAGCCTCCAGTTTCCTTATATGACCCGTCTCCCTCTACCCCTCTCCTCTGCTCATACTCTCAAATAAAATCTTTAAAAGTTTCCTCATAGGAGAGCCATGATTATACATGTAGTGCAATCTTCTGTTCTCTGCAACCTTGTCCTTTGCAGTGTGCAAGTATTTTTTTTTAAAGTTTATTTATTTATTTTTTAAAATTTATTTATTTATGATAATTACAGAGAGAGAGAGAGAGAGAGAGAGAGAGAGAGAGAGAGAGAGGCAGAGACACAGGCAGAGGGAGAAGCAGGCTCCATGCACCAGGAGCCCGATATGGGATTCGATCCCGGGTCTCCAGGATCGCGCCCTGGGCCAAAGGCAGGCGCCAAACCGCTGCGCCACCCAGGGATCCCCCAAGTATTTTTTTTTGTGTGTGTGTGTGTATGCGTCCAAGTATTTTTAAGTTGTTTTGTAGAGTATGACTCTCAACTGCACATTACTTTAGGCTTATATACTACAGAAACTGGAACCTAGGAAACAGTGAGAGGATGCTACATGCTTATTTTGCCAGTTTTGTAAAAAGTTTAATCCTCTTTCTCTTCCCAGGCCACAAAGAGAAAGAATGCAGAGCTTGGAAATGCACACCAAGCAATACTTCTGTGTCAGTCTGTCTTTTCTATTCTTCTGGCAGTACTTCCTGAAAAGACTTCACCAAGAATGCCCAAGCTTGCCATGAGCACTGTTGGTGAAGAAAATCTCTACTGCTAGTCATGTCCCCTTTCACTTCTCCGAGGGGTTTAAGGGATGTTTTGGGGGCAGGAAATAAAATCTAAGTGTTTACTAATTAAAACGGCAACAGAAAGAGCCTCTGTCCCAGATGTGTTGTTTGGAGTGTGAATCTTCTCACAGTCCAATGAATTCCACCCCAGTGGTAACTATTATTAAGCGAGACCCATAAAAACATTACTTATTGTTAGAAATTATGACATAATACAAAGCCAAAAATCTACTTTATTTTTCCCAAGTCATGTGAAAGACTGCAAAGAACCGTGCTCAGTAGCTCGCTCTCCATTTAGGGCCACATATATCTTTGGAAAGCAGACAGCAGCTCACCAGGCCTTCAGGGAGGTGACTAGGTAGCCCAGTGCATCCGTTTTGGTTTTTTAATTTTATTTATTAATGAGAGACACAGAGAAGCAGAGACACAGGCAGGGGGAGAAGCAGGCTCCACCCAGGGAGCTCGATGTGGGACTCGATCCCAGGACTCCAGGATCATGCCCTGGGCTGAAGGCGGTGCTAAACCTGAGCCACCCAGGCTGCTCAGCCCAGTGCATCCTACTGACAAGTGCACTCACACACTCAGAACAAAGGGAAAGATCCCTGTTAATGGCATCATGTTTAAGCTGGCTGCCATCAGACTTGCTAGGGAAAGACTCTCACTGAGGACCTAGTCCTGGAAGACTTCTCCTCCGACGAGCTGCCAGCTCAATCTTCTGAACCAGGCTTACATCCCAGGGATGGGTCACAAAGCTGATGACAGTGCCAGGCACCTCACTCCCTACACGGCCCACCCTACCGGCTCTATGGATGTAGTCTTGCAGGGTGAGGGGGAAATCGTAATTGACAACTAGCTCTACATGGGTGCTGTCCAGGCCCCGAGAGGCTATGTCTGTGCAGAGGAGTATGTCCCGGGAGCCCTTCTGGAAGCACTGGAAGATACCTGCTCTCATTGAGGCTGGCATTTGTCCCTGCAGCCTTAGGTGTTGGATTTTGTGGTCATCCAGAATATATCCCAGCCAGTTCACAGTGCTGGAGCTATTACAGAACACCAGAATAGTTCCCGAGGGGCCAGTCCTATATGCTCTGTCATGCTGCTTGAGGATCTGCACCAATTCAGTCACCTTCTCTGCTCCCTTCAGCCTCATAAATGTCTGTCTAACATGAGGCATGATGCAGTGGAGCTTAGAGCTGGTGATGGTGGTCAGAGAGTCTGGGCTGGCAACTTTATTTAGCAGCTGGCTTACACCTTCGGGAAATGTGGCCCCCACCAGCACTAACTGAGCTTTGGGATTGAAGGGGTCTTTTAAGTCATCTGGGTCTTCTGCTATATGGCTCTTCTGCAAGATGTAGTCCACTAGTTCCAAGAAGCTTTCATCCAATAGTGTGTCTGCCTCATCCAACACCAAGAAGGAGAGCTGCTTCAGGCTGACTAGGTGACTTTTCAGGGCCTTCCACAGAGCTCCTGGAGTGGCCACTAGTACGTCTGCTGGAGGTTGTTTGGACAGTTGCACCCGGATCCTATTCATGCCATGGCCTCCCCCTAGCTCTCGCACCTGGAGGCCCAAAGAGATGCCCAAGGGCTGGGCCACTGCCCGCACCTGTTCGGCTAATTCTCGCGAAGGCACAAGGACGAGGCCTCGAGGAGCAGGTGTACTGTGGGGATTCAGGCCTGGCCGGCCCAGGAGCCGCTGAAGCAGAGGTAGTAGGTATCCGAGAGTCTTGCCACTGCCCGTTTCCGCGGCGCAAAGGATGTGGCGGCCGCGAAGTAGAGGGGGAATGGTGCTGGACTGCACGGTTGTAGGCCGAAGGACTTCAGGCGCAGCCTCCTTCAGCGCACGAAGCACTGGGGGTTCCAGACCCAGATCCGCGAAGCTGCCCTCGGATGAGAGGTTCCGCAGCGCTGGTACCTCGTGTTGCGCGCGCTCGATGGAGAAGTGGTCTCTGCGGGAGCGCCGATTCTTCCAACCACGCGAAGCTAGTGGCGCGCGCTCCCAGCGGCCCAGCGTGAGGCGCGCCGGCTGGCTCAGCTCCCGCCGCCGCGCCGAGATGAGCAGCGGGCCAGGCCGCGCCAGCACCAGCCGCGGGGAACTCCGTCGCCCGCTCTGCCGCTGTTGTAGAGCCCGCGGGATGCGAACCACGGGCAGGGGCTCCTCAGGACCGCGGCCCGCCAGGTCCCGTCGAGGCGCGCAAAGCCACTGGGCCGCGAGCCGCAGCAGCCGCGGCGGCCGCGCCACAGCCATAGTCCCCTAGGCGTGCGAGAGGCGCACGGCGATGACGTCACGAGCGCGCGAGGCCTCGTGGACGGTGTCCGGCGCGGCTCAGTAAGGCTTGTGGAGTCGGCGAACCCTGAGGAAGGAGGGAGAGTCTGTAAAGTTCAACTGCGGCGAGGTCTGTAGGTCCGAACAGGTGTTGGCGACGTCCAGACCCGGATCGGCCTGGGGGAAAAGGGCGCGATGGAGGCAGGCGCGGGGTCCCGCGATACGCGGCGCTGGGGGCCGGGCCTAATGGACAGGAGGGCGGAGGGCTTCTGGCGATTGGGTGTCGGTCCTGGTCATTCTCTTTTGTCGCTCCCACCGCTCCTTTGGTGGCTTGTCTAGTGTTGGTCTGTAAATTCCGAGGGTGCGGTGGTGTTTTCCCAGGTGTGATCCCCGCTCAAGGTCTGGTAATAAATGTTTACTGAGAATCTGAATGTATGGTCAGGCCTGGGGGAGAAGACGAGGGCCAGGTGTCTTAGATCTAGGCCCCCCTTCCCTTGGCCAAGAGCTGAGAGCCCCGAGGGCAAACTGAAGGCCCCTCTGTGAAGCGGGAGCTGTAAGATCTTCAGGCTTTATTTCAAGTAGACCTTTCTCTTTGTACTTACCCCCACCTTTCACCTGAGGTTCGCTCTCCATTCTCTTGCCAACCCTCCCAACTTTTTTCATCCTGAACCTACCATTCTTGCAGTATGCTCACTTTCACTGGGTTCCCAGTCAAGATACATAAATTGCTTAAATAGGGATCCCTGGGTGGCGCAGCGGTTTGGCGCCTGCCTTTCGCCCAGGGCGCGGTCCTGGAGACCCGGGATCGAATCCCACGTCGGGCTCCCGGTGCATGGAGCCTGCTTCTCCCTCTGCCTGTGTCTCTGCCTCTCTCTCTCTCTGTGACTATCATAAATAAATAAAAATTTTTTAAAAATTGCTTAAATAGTGGTGAGGAGGGTCCTTGATCACTCAGGTGATCAAATATGTGGCTTGCGTTACATAGCCCTGGCCAGAGTATTTTACTTGCATTCAGTTGTTCAGGTTGCAAAAAAAAAAAAAAAAAAAACCCTTATCTGTTTCTGATTGACTTACTTCGCTCAGCATTATACCCTTTGAATCCATTCATGTTGTTGCAAATGGCAAGATTTAATTCTTTTTTTTTTTTTAAGGTCTTTTATTTACTGATTCACGAGAGACACACAGAGAGAGGCAGAGACACAGGCAGAGAGGAGGAGCAGACTCCTGTCAGGGAGCCCCATGTGGGACTCAATCCTGGGACTTCAGGATCATGCCCTGAGCCAAAGGCAGACGCACAACCACTGAGCCACCCAGGCATCCCAAGATTGTTTTATTTATTTACTCATGAGAGGCAGAGACACAGGCAGAGGGAGAAGCAGGCTCCACTCAGGGAGTCCGACATGGGACTCGATCCTGGGACTCCAGGTTCACGCCCTGGGCTGAAGGCAAGCGCTAAACTGCTGAGCCACCCCGGGATCCCCTATCTCACATCTTCTTTATTCATCAATCCAGGGACACTTGGGTTGCTTCCATAATTTAGCTATTGTAAATAATGCTGCAATAAACATAGAGGTGCTTTTTTTCCCCCCTTCAATTCGCGTTTTTGTATTCTTTGCCTAAATACCCAGTACTAGAATTGCTGGATCATATGGCAGTTTTATTTTTAATTTTTTGCGAAACTTCCATACTGTTTTCCACAGTGGCTGCACCAGTTTTAATTTCCACCAACAGTGCAAGAAGTTTCCTTTTCCACCAATCCTCACCAATGCATGTTGTTTCCAAAGAGATAAATACTTGAAAATTTCAAATGCCATTCTGATACATAAGTAGACTTTCTGGAAAGTTACCCATCAAACCAGCAGAGGAGAGAGTTTTGAGTAGCGACAGATGAACAGAGTCATTGGATAGAGCAAGCAATGGCTCTCAAGTGAGGGTGATTTTTGCCCCCACCCCACCCCGGGATATTTGACAGAATTTGGAGACATTTCTGGTTGTCACATCTGGGGAGGTGCTACTGGCATCTAGTGAGCAGAGGCCAGGGATGTTGCTGAACATTATGCAGTGCACAGGAAAGCCTCCCACAAAAAAAGATTATCTGGCCCAACATGTGAATAGTGTGTTGTTGAGAAACCCTGCATAGAGTATGAGGACTGAAGAGAGGCTGAGGTTACATGTGCTTTCACTTCAGGTAGGCATATCTGACAGCCTCTTGCGCTGGCTCTGCCTCATCCCCAGAATTTGTAATGAGGACACTGATGCCATTGCTTGCTACGCCCTTGGGATTAGGAAAGTTGGGGGTCCTTCCTGAAAGTCATAAACACAAGAAATAGTGACTCAAGGAAGTGAAGCTGGAGAAGAGAAGTTTAGAGAGAACAAAACTGTCCTCATGGGTCTGGGGAATGTGCCAAATGGAAAAGAGCTGAGGTGTGCCATGGGGTGTACCATTCCAGAGTGCAGAATTAGGACCCATAGGTAACAGGAAGATTCTGAATTTGATATAAAGAACTGCTGTAACAACTAGAATTGCCCAGGTCTGTCTTGAGGATGCTGAGTTTTTCCATCATTGAAAGTTCATATCCAGGCCGGATGACCGCTGGTTGGCAATATGATCGAAGGGAGTTGATATAAAGGGCACTGCAAGGTATTGTGATTCTGTACTACTTTTATGATTCTTCTCAAGAAATCAGAGCTCCTTGCTCCTTATCTATGTAGCTTCTTTTTTTTTCTTTTTTAAAGATTTTGTTTATTTATTCATGAGAATACACAGAGAGGAGAGAGAGAGAGGCAGAGACACAGGCAGAGGGAGAAGCAGGCTCCATGCAGGGAGCCCGACATGGGACTTGATCCAGGGTCTCCAGGATCACACCCTGGGCTGCGGGCAGCACTAAACCGCTGAGCCACGGGGGCTGCCCTATGTAGCTTCTTTGACATCTGACTCAACAGGTCTTATCCATTTACATGTGCCACTGTTTTTTTCAGATAAAAACAAAGTCTTACTTTGCACCAAGCCAGAGTAGATACACTGAAGGAATTATCAGAAAAGAATAATACATAGGTATGTAGTTGCATTTGGGTTCTACCGAAATATTTGGGGCAGGGAAGCTGGTTACTATATGGCTACTTTCTCACCATGCTCAAGTCCTTACAAGATGATTAACTCAAAATCTCATAAAGATTGGAGTCTGTCTGAGCCAGTCTCTGCCCATGGTCCTTAATTTCTTTTTGTCAGTTGTCAACTACTTAATAAGTCTCCTCTCTTTTCCTGCTGTTCACAGGAGACATTGAGTAATTTCTAGTTGTTATTGAGATACATGTTTTATATTATAGTACTCTAGGAATAAGAAAGTTTTACTTATTTGTGAAAAGAATGAGAATAGGGGCCTAACTTGGTAGTATTTTTTTCCCAGGGCTGTCATAGTAACTCACGTTGCCTGGTTACTCCATAAGTTTTAAACAGAATTATTGTCCCTTGGATCTCAGGTGATAATGGTACAGCCATTCATTCATTTATTCGTTCAATAAATATTTCCTGGGCACCATGTATATGCTGGGTACTGTTCAAACAGACAGTGGGCAAAACAGGTAAAATTCCTGCCCTGATGGAGTTTACATTCATTCATTCATTCATTCATTCATTCATTCATTTAAGAGTTTACATTCTGAGTTAATTGACTTGGGGGTAAGGCCTGGACTTTGCTATTTTTTAAAGCCTTTCCAAATGATTCTAATATGCTTCCCCATTTGAGAATCACAGTTATAAACAAAGCACTTAGGAAATTGCAAGGCATTACAAAAATAAAAAGTAGCTGTTAGTTAGTATTCTCTCCCTGTTCCTTCATTTTCCTGCCTGCATCAGGACTGTTGCACAAGTGCTGAACATTTTCTTTTCAGCCTGTGTCACTATATGCCTAGATCATTTCATCCTCTTTCTAACCCAACTCCTTACCTCCTTCCTGTCTTTCATTCTCTAGTCCATCATCTGTTTTCCGAATGATCTTACTAAAAAGCACAGCCATGGCCTTGTCACTCCTTGACTCAGAAGCTATTAATGGATGGATGCCTGTGGCCTACAGCTTATCTCCTAATCACTCTGCAGAATCTGCCCCCAACTCCATCTCCTGCTACTTTCTTGAAAATGTATTTTTTAGGGCTCCTGGGTGGCTCAGTGGTTGGGTGTCTGCCTTTGGCTCAGGGCGTGATCCCAGGGTCCTGGGATCGAGTCCCGCATCAGGCTCCATGCAGGGAGTCTGCTTCTCCCTCTAACTATGTCTCTGCCTCTCTGTCTGTGTCTCTCATGAATAAATAAATAAAATCTTAAAAAAAAGAAAATGCATTAAAAAATATTTTATTTATTTATTTGAAAGAGAGCAAGTGAGAGAGAGAGCATGAATAGGGGGAGGGGTGGAAGGAGAGAGAGAGCAGCATACTCCGCACTGAGCTGGGAACCCAATGCGGGGCTTGATCTGCCCTGGGATCATGACCTGAGCTAAAGGCAGACACTTAACCGACTAAGCCACCAGCTGGGTGCCCCTCCTGCTTTCCTACCCGAATCTTATTCATTCTAGTGGTAGCTCTTATGCAAGTTGGGTAAGCAAGGGATTGGGGTAGACATTTGTCTGCTCTGTAATCATACTTGAGGTATGGCAAGGCACTTGAAATGCTCTGTGATAGAGTACACATTTGTCTGTGATAGAGCTCTTCTTTGGCTGAAACATTAACCGTATTGTGGTTCTTGTTGCCATTTGAACTGTTAGCTTCTTTTTTATTTTTAAATTTTTATAGGTTTTTTTTTAAGATTTTATTTATTTATTCATGAGAAACACAGAAAGGAATGAGAGAGAGGCAGAGGGAGAAGCAGGCTCCATGCAGGGAGCCCGATGTGGGACTCGGTCCTGGGTCTCCAGGATCACACCCTGGGCTGAAGGTAGCACTAAACTGCTGAGCCACCCGGGCCACCCATTTTTTAGGTTTTATTTATTTATTCATGAGAGCCACAGAGAGGGAGGCAGAGACAGGCAGAGGGAGAAGCAGGCTCCATGCGAGGACCCCGATGTGGGACTCGATCCTGGGACTCTTGAGATCTTACCCTGAGCCGAAGACAGACACTCAACCGCTGAGCCACCCAGGCAT